AGGGTAGGGGCGCCTGGGTGGCTTAGTCGGTTAAGCGTCTGCCTTCTGCTCAGGTCATGGTCCCAGGGTCCTGGGATTGAGCCCCGCATCGGGCTCCTTGCTCAGCAGGGAAGTCAGCTTCTTCCTCTCCCTCCGCTGCTCCCCCTGCTTGTGCTCTCTCTCTCTCTCTCCGTGTCAAATAAATAAAATCTTTTTTTTTTCAAGATTTTATTTACTTATTTATTTATTTATTCATTCATTCATTCATTCATTCATGAGCGACAGAGGGGGGAGAGAGAGAGAGAAGCAGGCTCCCAAGGAGCAGGGAGCCTGATGCAGGACTCGATCCCAGGACCCCGGGATCCTGACCTGAGCCGAAGGCAGACGCCCAACCATCTGAGCCACCCAGGCGCCCCCAAATAAATAAAATCTTAAAAAAATAAAAAAAAAATCACTTAAGGGTAGACTGTGCTACATTAAAGATATTTACTGTAAACCCTAAGTAACCATAAAAATAACAAAGAGTTTTGGGGTGCCTGGTTGGCTCAGGTGGTGCGGCAAATGACTTTTGATCTCAGGGTCATGAGTTCAAGCCCCACATTGGGCCTAGAGCCTACTTAAAAATAATTAAATGTTAAAAAAAGCACAGCAAGGAGTTTTAGCTAATATGCCAGCAAAGCAGATATAACGAAATTATAGAAAACATTCATTTAATCCAAAAAGCAGAGAACATAAAAGGAACAAAGAATGGATGTTAAATATAGAAAATAAGATGATAAATATCAACTTAACCATATCAATAGTCACATTAAATGTAAATGTCTAAATATCCCCATTAAAAGGCAGAGATCATCAGATTGGATAAGAAAGCAAGATCCAACTGTATGTTGCTTACAAGAAATGAACAGTAAATTTTAAAAGAAAAGATATAATGTGTTCACACTGGTCAAAAGGGAGCTGAAGTGGCTATATTAATTTTAGGTGAAGTGGATTTCAGAGCAAAGACTATCACGAGAGCTAAAGAAAGTCATTTTGATAATGGGATAAACTCATCAGAAGAAAATAATAACCATAAACATTTATGTACCTAATAACACACATTCAAAATGCATGAAGAAAAACTGGTAGAACTGTGAGGTATAATAGACAAATCTACAGTTACAGTTGAGGATTTTGGTACCCTTTTCTCATTAATTGATATACTAAATAGAAAGTAAGAATATATAAGATTTGAATAAAACTGTCAACTTGACCTAATCTGGCACTTATAGAATGCTCCACCCAACAATAGTGGAATATACATTCTTTTTAGGTGTACATGGAACATTTATCAAGATAGAGCATATTCTAGGTCATAAAACAAGTCTCAATATATTTAGACAAATTCGTTTTACAAAGTCTGTTCTTTGACTACAGAGGAATTAAAGTAGATATTAGGAATGGAAGGATTTCTGGAAAAGCCTCAAACATTTGGGAGCCCATTAACATACTTCTAAGTAGTCCATAGGTCAAAGAAGAAATCAAAAGAGAAATAAAGTATTTTGAGCTGAATAAAAGTGAAAACAATATATTAGAATTAGTAGGGTGCTGCTAGAGCTGCATTTAGGGGGAAATTTATAGTCCTAAAATGCCTATTTTAGAAAGAAGAAAGGTCTCAGATTAGTGATAGCCAAGCCTCCCTAAATTACAAAAAGAAGAGCACATGAAACCAAAGTGAGTAGGAGAATGGGAATAGTAAAAACAGCAGAAATCAATGAATTAGAAAATAGAAACACAATAGGGAAAACCAGTGAAACTGAAAGCTGGTTCTTTGAGATGGATAAAATTGGTGAACCTTTAGCAGATAGAACATTTTATTTATTTTAATTTTTTTATTGTTAATCACCATACGTTACATCATTAGTTTTTGATGTAGTGTTCCATGATTCATTGTTTGTGCATAACACCCAGTGCTCCACGCAGAATGTGCCCTCTTTAATACCCATCACCAGGCTAACCCGTCCCCCCACCCCCCTCCCCTCTAGAACCCTCAGTTTGTTTTTCAGAGTCCATCGTCTCTCATGGTTCGTCTCCCCCTCCGGCTTACTCCCCTTCATTCTTCCCCTCCTGCTATCTTCTTCTTCTTTTTTTTTTTCTTAACATATATTGCATTATTTGTTTCAGAAGTACAGATCTGTGATTCAACAGTCTTGCACAACTCACAGCGCTCACCATAGCACATACCCTCCCCAATGTCTATCACCCGGCCACCCCATCCCTCCCTCCCACCCCCCACCACTCCAGCAACCCTCAGTTTGTTTCCTGAGGTTAAGAATGCCTCATATCAGTGAGGTCATATGATACATGTCTTTCTCTGATTGACTTATTTCACTCAGCATAACACCCTCCAGTTCCATCCACGTTGTTGCAAATGGCAAGATCTCATTCCTTTTATGGCTGCATAATATTCCATTGTGTATATATACCACATCTTCTTTATCCATTCATCTGTCATTGGACATCTTGGCTCTTTCCACAGTTTGGCTATTGTGGACATTGCTGCTATAAACATTGGGGTTCATGTACCCCTTCGGATCCCTACATTTGTATCTTTGTGGTAAATACCCAGTAGTGCAATTGCTGGATTGTATGGTAGCTCTATTGAGATAGAACATTTTTAAAAATGTACTGTTAGAATTAACATCCCAGTGTCAGAAAAGTATTCTACATTTCATTTTTATAAAGTTTTATATTTTTAGGGGCTCCTGGGTGGCTCAGTCGTTAAGCATCTGCCTTCGGCTCAGGTCATGATCCCAGGGTCCTGGGATGGAGCCCCGCATTTGGGCTCCCGGCTCGGCAGGGAAGCCTGCTTCTCCCTCTCCCACTCCCCCTGCTTGTGTTCCCTCTCTCGCTGTGTCCTCTCTGTCAAATAAAATCTTTAAAAAAAAAAAAAGTTTTATATTTTTAGATTGTGTAAGTTGTTCAAAGACACCAATTACTGTATCTTAATTGGGAGAATTTATTTCTGTTTTTGAAAGAGGTGCAGTTTATCAGAGAAAGATCCGGCAAATGTTATAGGTATGGCACAATTTCATAGCTTAATTCATTTAACTTAGCTGTGGTGGTTTGTGATGTGTAGTAGAGTGTTGTTGTGAAAAGGTAGAGGTCCATGTCTGTTAACAAGTATAAGCTCTTTTTGGATGAATTTTTTATGCATCATTTCAGTTTTTTGATAATACATTATTGCTGTTTACCCAGGCGCCCCTAAGAGAACTATGACTGTTTCTCTGAGGAGGAGAAAACTTAGTGGCGATGTTTGAGTGACCCTTAGTGAAATAAGGAACAGATTTATTGTAGATACTGTAAGCAAGGACAGTTATGAATGTTAAAGGCCAGAGCATTAGATTTCTACTTATAAAAAAGGAATAGGGGTCTCTGGGTCGCGTAGTAGGTTGAGCATCTGCCTCTTGGGTGTCGGCTTGGGTTGTGATCTCCGTGTTGTGGGATCAAGCCCTGTGTTGGGCTCTGCGCTCAGCACCCAGCCTGCTTAAGACTCTCCCTCTCCCTCTGCCCCTCCTCCCCAGGCTCTTGCTCTCTCTCGCTCAAATAAATAAATCTAAAAAAAAAAAAAAAGGAATAACCTTTTAACAGAAGATAAAATGATATGACTCAATGTAATAACCTCCCTTTTAGTCCTTGAGAGTATTCAAGCAGTGGCTGGATCCTTGAATAATGAATGCCCTCATTGGGACAGTGGTTTAATTTGATCACCTTTAAAGTTATTATGACTCATAAGATTATATAACTACTTGGCCTTTGCCAATGAATTCTTTTTATTCCTGTGGTAAACAGAGAAGGAAAAACATGTGAAAAAATACAGCACTTGGTGTCACTGTCAAACAGAGTTAGGATGTTTGCTTGCCATGATGGCAAGATGTTAATTCTGTTTTTTTTTCTTGGAGCTATGTCAGGACTTCACATAGAGAATCTAGAGACAAGTTGTGTGTGTATACATCTGTACATACACACATACAGACTCATAGATTATATAGTGCCTATATATGTGTGTATAAATATATGTGAGTATGAATGTGTATATGTATGTTTATACATAAATATGTGTGGATGGATATATATATATGGAGCCTCAAACATAAATATGTGTAGATGGATTATATATATATATGTGTGTGTGTATTTTATATATACATATAATATACATATGTTATAATTTAGGGCTATTTTCTGCCACATATGCATTTTTACTTTTGGAGTAGAATACCTTTTTTTTTTTTTAAGATTTTTTATTTCTTCATTTGAGAGAGAGTGAGCGAAAACACAAGTGGGGGGAGGGGCAGAGGGAGAGGGAGAAGAAGACTCCCCGCTGAGCAGGGAGCCTGTCACCGGGCTCCATCCCAGGACCTTGAGATCACGACCTGAGCCGAAGGCAGACACTTAACTGACTGAGCCACCCAGGCACCCCTAGAATACCTGTTTTAAAATGGTTTTTACCATGTTATTTTTTTAAAGAATCATTTACTATTTTTCTTTTAACTCTTTATACCTAATATGAGAAGAGTGCTGACCTTTGCTTTGACTTCCTGACCACAGTGCTCTATCTTACTGCCATCTTACTTGCTTCTCTGAAGAACAGGAAATTACCAAAATGATACCAATCATTTCAGTCCAATACTGGGTTAACTGTTTTTGTCATAGTTTTCATATTTATTAAATAATACTGTATTCACAAAATTTCTCTTTTCTTAGTACCTCTTTTGTCACCTAAACAAAGGTTGATAAGGATATTATAAATACATAATTTTTATTAGTAAAATTTCCTCAGTTTACTTTTAGTAAACAAACTTTTATTAAACATAGATCACATCTTGTATTTTGTATTTAAAATTGAGGATGGAATGAAATGGAAATTTTAAGGGGAGTGAATTTGACATTTCTGTTCATCTGTATAGCAATCTTCTGGCTTTATTAATCCTCTGCACTCGTTTCTTCTTCTGGATTAATATTTGTTTTCTTTTTGACAGGCAGTGATGGTTTCAGAAGACTTTAATATAGAAGCTCCCAATTATTTGTCCAAGGAATCCGAAGTTCTGATTTATGCCAGACAGGATTCACAGTGCATTGACTGTTTCCAAGCTTTTTTGCCTGTGCACTACCGCTATCATCGGCCACATAGTAAAGATGGGGAAACCTTGATTGTGGTCAATAACCCTGATTTATTGATGTATTGTGACCAAGGTGAGGGTTGCAAGTCTTTTCTGAGGGTTGAGAATAAAAATAAAGGTATGGTGGCGAGTCTGAAGTCAAGGACAGGGATGACAAAAGCAGGATTCTTTTTTCTTTCTTTTTTAACTTTTTTTTTTAAGATCTTATTTATTTATTTGTCAGAGGGAGAGCGCACACAAGCAGGGGGAGAGGCAGGCAGAGGGAAGCAGGCTCCCTGCCAACCAAGGAGCCTGATGTGGGACTTGGTCCCAGGACCTTGGGATCATGACCTGAGCCAAAGGCAGACGCTTAACTGACTGAGCCACCCAGGCGTCCCTGTTTTTTTTTTTTTTTAATTTTTGATTGTAAAATACACCATAGATATAAGAAAACCTCATAAGCAAATATTTTAGTAAATTATTATAAGGCAAATACCCTTGTAAAGAGCTTTGCCAGTCACCCTAGCAGCGGCTCTCTGTGTCTTGTCTCAGTCATAGCCTCCTCCTTTCCTCTCAGACTAACCCATATCCTGACTTAATCACTTGCTTATGTTTCTTTATACTTTTTTCGCCCAAGTGGGCATTCTTAGATAGTAAAGCCTCTTCCCCATTTAAAGAAATGTATTTCCATTAAGTCTCTTAATTTACAGGTTTCCCTTCTTCCCCTTTCTTTTTTTTTTTAAATTCACCTGTCGAGAAACCTGGGCCATTTGACCTGTCTAGTTTCTCGTGGCTGGGGTTATGGTGATTGTACTCATGCTGTTCATGAGCCTCTTTATTTCTGGAAATTGGCTGCTGGCTCCAGAGGTGTGATCAGATTCAGCTTTGATTCTTTTGACAAGACTATAAGGTGGTGCTGTGTTCTTGTAGGACTACGCATATAATGTCTGGTGTGTTTCTTTTTTTGACCATTGATCCTCTGCCCCTGTGTTACTTTCTGTTTCTTCATGCTGATTTGCTGCACTTGCAGCTGTTGGTGTTTTGTCTCCACCTGCATAGGTTTTCGTGTTTGAGGGGATACTTTACCACCTAGTTTTGTTGTAAACGTTGGCCATGAGTTTTTGGTTTCGGGTGTAATTGTTCTTTCTGTTTTTATGTGTGCATTTGAGTAAATTAAAACTATGCTTCCCCACTTTCAGTCTTCCTAGAATCGAGACTTTAGGAAGCCCCTTTCCGATTTTGGTTCTTTGGGTCTTCAAATTTGGGTTGATTAGAATATTCACAAACCAGTAGCACTAAAGATTGGGGGATAGGAAGTTTTTAATCATACTTTGCAGCCATCATATATTTCATGATGAGAAAATAATAAACTGTTCAACTTTGTTAGGTTTGTTCATCCAACCTAGTTTTCTTTTTTTTCATTGTCTGAATAAAGTTTGAAAAAGTGCCCTCTCTTGAGAGAGCACCTGGGGTTCTGGTTTTTGGTTTTGTTTTTTTTTTTTTTTTAGTCTCAATGCTCTTTATATGGGTTTGTTTAGTCTGTGGAAATTTTTTTAGTTGTATGCTTAGGATCTGTTCATTTTTCTGAGTATATGTTATACTTCAAAAAAAGTTTAAATTTTTTAAAAAAATGGTACCTACTAGGGATGCCTGGGTGGCTCAGTTGCTTGGGCGTCTGCCTTCGGCTTAGGTCATGATCCCTGCATCCTGGGATTGAGCCCCGCATGCATCCGGCTTCCTGCTCAGCAGGGAGTCTGCTTCTCCCTCTCTCCCTCTGCTCATTCTCTCTCCCTCTCAAATAAATAAATAAATAACATCTTTTTTAAAAAAGTGGCACCTACTGTAATGGGATTTGTTAAGAACTCATGCTTCTGCAAGTCTTGGTAATTTTATAATTTCATAGGCATCCTCTTAGAATAGGCTGCTAAAATAAAATAGCATGTGAAGATGGATTCAGGTCATGTACATTGTGTAGAAACGTGTTTGAGTACTCATATCTCAACATGAAAGACTGGCCTAGCATCTAGTCCAGATGCAGGTTTTCTGATCTGATGTTCTACCACTTTTTCTCAGAGTTTCCAATTTTGAAATGCTGGGCTCAGTCACAAGTGGCAGCTCCTTGTGCTTTGAAGAATAAGGATATCTGCCAATGGAACAATATGAAATATAAATCAGTAAGTTAATATTTTATGTTGTTTTTCGATCATGCTACATTATTTAAAACTCATAATGTTTCTGCCACATTTAAGGGATTAGCATTTTCTATTCTACCATTGAAAGCTGTTTTTTGTGTGTTTTTAATGTTGTTTCTTTGCTACTAATGGCAGCAGTGGTTCCTCATTTCTATTGTTACAGAATCATTTAATTTGGGGACTGGAGATTTAGGGTTAGTTCATGCCTCATTGGTTCAGAGCCTAAGTATAGCTAATATGCTTTTTAAAGATGTGGAGTAGCAACGAAGAAGCTATGTCCATCTGGTTTTACGTTATCTAGAAAAATGTTTCGACAGCTGATGTCCAAGAAATTACTGCCTATGTTTTCTTCCAGGAGTTTGATGGTTTCCTGTCTCACATTTAGGTCTTTAATCCATTTTGAGTTTATTTTTGTGTATGGTGTAAGAAAGTGGTCTGGTTTCATTCTTGGTTTTACTTTATCAGTACAACTTTATTTTATTTAGAACTTTTCATTAATTTTTGAACAACAAACAACAATTAGTTAACTTCATTATATGGCACAGAACGAGCGAGAAAAGGGTAATAAAGACTCCAAGTAGTAGTATTTCAACTGTGATAAAGTTTCTAGACAGTTGTATTGCTATTTATATATCTAAATCCAGGTTGTGGCCAGCCATGTTTATAGTTTTGACCTCTGACCTTGTTTTCAGTTACTAAATTAGGTAAGTATTCTTCATTAACATTGGCTTTCTCTAAGGAGTGTATAGTTTTCTATTTACCCTCTTTAGTTAACATGGTCTACTTCTCTCTCTTCAGAGCGGTGATCTTATACAACCATTTCTTTTCTTTCCCTCTTTTTCTGTCCTTTCCTTCCTCTTTTATGAGCTGCATTTTAACTGATGGTTGTAATATCTGTGTTTCTCTTTGACCCTAATTCTCTTTAATGCCTGCTTCCCTTGGTGGAATAGCACAATCTGTGTCATTTTTACAATTTACTTTTATAAGAAGTCAAATGAGTCTGCAATAAAAGTAAAATAAATTTAAAATGTTAAACCAACAGACAGACTGTCAGGTAAACGTAAAGCAGATTTGTTCATATGGCTATTGTAGATATTTAGATTTGAAGTATTTTCCTTGGAGTTGCTTTGAAGCCTGTCTACCAGCTAGCCTAGAAAACAACTACGTATGGTGAAGGCTTACTACAAAGCACTGCTATTTTGTAGTGGGGAACTCTCTTAGAACTGACAATTGGTAAGATGTATGACTGTGCTGAATCTTTTGCAATGTAGAGTTGCTTTTGAGTAGATTTCCATTACTGTATGGAACCGGAATCTTTTTTCACACTCTAAAATACATCTGGAGAATTACATGTGATTTTCTTATGTGAATGAAGAGTATTAATTAGTGTTTACAATTTATTAATTTAAAATACTGGTTGTATGCATTGCTACAAAATAAGTAATTACCTTATTAAAACATTTTGAATTCAGTTCTCTTTTAGACCATGTAACTTGAAATAAGAGGTCATAATTAATGCCTTTGAATTGTATATGTGTGTATTAACATTTCTTGTTTATATATACCAGAAAAATAGGTGGCCATTACTAAGGGGGTGATCTACATACACTAAGACTTGTTGGTTTAAGACACCATTTTTTTGAAAGCTAAATTTCGGGTGGCTTTGTTACAGATTATGCTGGTAACATTTGTTTGGGGTGTGAAATTATACTCCAGATATTTATAAAAAGGAACCAAAAATAAGAGCATTCCCAAGTTACCTAAATTTTAATGTTTTTAAAAACCTATTTTAAACCATAAAATTTCCTAGAGTTTCTAACCGACCCCCTTGATCTTCAAAACTAAATAGAAAATAGAAACCAAGTTGAACTGTAGGAGAACTTGTTTTGCTGGTCAGGATGACAATGACTTTGATGTTTTAACAGTAAAAGACATTCAATTGTGTGATTTGTGAATAACAGACTTTTTAAAGCTATTTTGAAGAGAGAAACAGCAAAACAGGAGTGATTGGATACTTTAGCTTTATTGTTGTTTTAACATTTTTCCTTTCGGGCTTTGACTGAGAGAGAATTCTGTATTCCAATATGAAACGTAGCAAAAGGAAGTAAATGTTTATATTGATTACAGAGGTGACAATGGGAGAGAGCTAGCATTGGGAGAAAGTAGTAGTCAAAACTAATGAGAATTTAAGGATTATTGTGATTGAGTCTGATTCTGTTATATTAAATGAAATGTTGAATCCAAAAGAATCACTCAAATAGTAATGTTACCTGTAGTGTAGCATTGGCTGAAAGATACTAAAAGAAAAATATTATATTAAAAGTCAAATACTGGTCTCACCTTAGGACATGCATTTTAAATGTCTCTAACCTCTCTCTCTCTCTCTCTCTAGGTATATAAGAACGTGACTCTACAGGTTCCAGTGGGACTGACTATACATACCTCTTTAGTATGTTCTGTGACTCTGCTCATTACCATCCTGTGTTCCACTCTAATCCTTGTGGCTGTTTTCAAATATGGCCATTTTTCCCTATAAGTTTTATGGAGTTTAATGCTTCCCATAAACCTAAATAAGACCTGTTGACTTGCGATTAGAAGTACTGTTCTAGAATTATGTCATTTATGTCTAAAATTATGTGTACTAGAGGAAATTTTGGATCACTTTCAACCAATTCCAGAATTTAGTGCTCTGTTGTATAGACCTTTGATAATCTTCAAGCAAGTGCCAATAGAAGAGGAAACTTAATTTTGTTAAATATTTATCTTGTGAGAAGTGATTTTATATCTTCATTCGGTTACGAAAATGAGTACTTTATATGTTAGAGACAAATTATTCTCATTTTATGACTAGAAACATTTTAATTTCAGCTAAAAATTGAGAAAATCATTATAAATAAGAATAAAATATTTTGGATGAATCAGTTTATTTAAACATTAATTTTGAATATTAAAGTTACTCATCCAGAGTATAAAGAAAATAAAGTAGGACAGCTAAGAAATTAATATCAAGATTGATTATTCCTTAAAGCATTTCCATTCTCCTTTTGTATTTTATTATACTGTTTTGAATATATGAATTGGCTAGATGAAACTAAGTACTAAGTACTAAGACTTAGTACTGAATTTGTCAGGAAGACAATTCAGATTGTCATTTTTAGAGTATTTTTTATTAAGTTGTACATTTACAAAAAAAATCTTTTTTGTATCTTTTGCTCCATGCCAAACTTGGGGCTTGAACTCATGACCCTGAGATCAAGAGTCACATGCTCTACTGACTGAGCCACCCAGGTGCCCCTCTTTTTTGTATCTTCAGTGACTTCTTTTTTTTTTTTTTAAACAAAAGCTCTTATTCCACTATTTTTCTTGGGAAAAAATTAGAAAATAAAGTAAGTAGAAGCTACTTAAAAAATAAAAAGGTATGGGGCACCTGGCTGGCTCAGTCAGTGGAGCATATAATTCTTGATCTCGGGATTTTGAAGTTGAGCCCCACATTGGGTGTAGAGATTACTTAAAAATAAAATCTTTGAAAAAAAATAAAAAGGCAAGCATGTCCTTCTGTTTATTTAGGGCAATGCATTGAGGACAAGCATGTTCCAGAACAGAAGCCAATAAACCAGGGTTTGGTTGACAGTATTTGTTTCATAGAGTAATGGAATGATTTACATTTATATATGCTAGCAGTGCTTACTTTCCTAAAACATTCTGGTGTTTTTATGGGAATAAGTCTTTTATAATTTGACATGTATGACTTGACTAGTCATAATAGTTCTTTTTGAAGGTATGTTTAAGAACTTGAAAAAGGCAACCAAGTGCCATAAAACAAATATTAGAGACCACTAAAATTTCAAACCCAGTCTAATTTTTTACTTTTTTAGCATTTTCTTACAAGAAAGAATTCCGTGTTTTTTACAAGCATTTCTTTCACAATGGGATTAATATAGTGGCACTGAAATGAAATTATATGTCAGTTAAAATTCAGTTAACATCAACAGACAGCATATTGAAGTATGAATAGACAGGGGAACATGGTACCTCTTAAGAGCATATGTGGCGGGGAGGGCAGAGTACATACATATTTTTTTTCTTTTGCATATCAGAACCAAGTTTCATCAGTATTTAAATAAGTTTTCAAATCAATATTTGAGATGGTGGCCTGGGACGTGATTCAGCCATTTATTCATTTATACAGGTATTCAGAGGTGTAATAAAAATGTAAAAGTGAATGAAGAGTACTTTGATATGACTCTTCTTGCCTAATAAATGGTTGCAGATGACATCAGTTTTAATATAACAGAACATTTCTGGTTTTGAACTCTTTATTATCTTTGGATACTTGAAAAATGAATAAGCACTTTATTTTTTTAACTTAAAAAAAATTTTTTTTAAGTAAGCTCTATGCCCAACGTGGGGCTTGAACTCATGACCCTGAGATCAAGAGTCGCATGCTCTACCAACTGAGCCAGCCGGGCACCCCTAAACGCTGTATTTTTAATTTTTTTTAATTTTTATTTTTTAAAGATTTTATTTGAGAGTGAGAGAGAGCATGAGAAGTGGGGGAAGGGTCAGAGGGAGAGGAAGAAGCAGGCTCTATCCCAGGACTCCAGGATCATGACCTGAGCCTAAGGCAGCCGCTTAACCAACTGAGCCACCCAGGCGCCCCAAGTACTGTATTTTTTTTTTTTTTTAAGATTTTATTTATTTGACAGAGAGAGACACAGCGAGAGAGGGAACACAAGCAGGGGGAGTGAGAGAGGGAGAAGCAGGCTTCCCGCTGAGCAGGGAGCCTGACGTGGGGCTCAGTCCCAGGACCCTGGGATCATGACCTGAACCGAAGGCAAACACTTAACGACTGAGCCACCCAGGCACCCCGCAAGCACTGTATTTTTTAAATCAGTTTTGTAATTCTGTGTATGGCCTTTTTTGTTTAAAGCGAGGAAAATGAGTACCGTCCTCTTGGTCATTTTGTTCCAGTATTTGTTGAACTTTTATGGTTTATTTTTTTTAAAGTATTAGGTTATGTTTGTTTGGGTAAACATAACAGAGACATGGGTTACCTCAACTAAGGGTGGTGTGGGGCAGAGATTAGTGTGTGTGTGTGTGTGTGTATTTAAGCCACTCTACCAGGAATTTAGATTATTTAGGTAGATCTCATGGAAGATGGTACATACATGGCCTGGGAACTGGAAAGATCTAATGCAGCTCTAATGATTTCAGAATATGATGAGTTTAAGGACTATTCCAGTAAGATATTCTATTTATTTCAGGTATTCATTTATATTTTGATAATTGGTGCTTAAGATATGGAGATAAATTAGGGTGAGGTGACCAACACCTATCCGCATTATCCTCCAAACTTACAAAATATGCTACTGGCAGGTAGTTGAATGTAGGGTTTGGTAGGCTGTGAGAGAATAGGATAATATGGATTAAGTATGCTCTTCAGGATTGTCCTAACCAGTGATAGGATGGGTAGGTTTAGCTATCTATCTGATTTCTTGCATCTCAGTCCTTACTTTTGGAATCAATCTCCTCCTGAAGTATACCTTTTTAATGAGTTCCTTTAGTAAGTCTTTGTCTTTTTTTTTAATTGAAGTATAATTGACACACAATGTTATATTAGTTTCAGGTATACAACATAGTGATTCCACAAGTCTATACTTTATGCTCTGCTCACCACAAGTGTAGCTACAACACTATTACAGTACCAGCAACGGTCTCTGCTTTTGTCTGATATCTTTCTGTCACCCTCATATGACTGATAATTTAGCGCGGTCTACACTTGTAAATTTGGTTATTTTATCTTGGTACTTTGAAAATATTTTTCCACTGTCCACTGGCACCCATTGTTGCAGTTGATAAATCTTCAGAAATTTAATAGTTGTTGCTTTGTAGGGTATGTCTTTCCTTTCTGGTTGCTTTATCTATGGTATTCTGCAGTTTCATGTTGATGAGTTTGAAAAGATTTCTTGTACTTATCCTGGTTGGGCTTCACTTTGCTTCCTGAATCTGAAGGTTCTTGTCTTTATTCAGTTTTGGAAAATTCTTAGCCATTATCTCATCTACTATCCCTTTTGTTTTCTCTCTTCTCTCAGTTCTTGCTAAGCATATGGTAGACCTTCACAATCTATCCCCATGTCTCTTGATCTTTCTTTCATACTTCCTTTGTCTCTGGGCTGCTCTCAGTAATTTCTTTAGATCTGTCATCCAGTTTACTAATTCTCTCTTCAGTGTGTAATCTGCTATTTAACCCAAACATTGGCTTTGGTTGCAATTATTAAATTCTTTATTTGTAGAAGTTCTACTTGGTTACTTCTCAAAGCTTCGTGGTCATTTTTTAAAAAACAGTATCTTGTTTCTTACTCCTATATTATTTTGTTTAATCATTTTAATAAACTTATATTCTGTAACCAATAATTCCACTGTCTAAAGTTCACAAGCTTCATTATTTTGTTTGTGGTTTCTGTGGATTCATTCATGGTGGCTTATTTCCTCAGGTATATTAAAATTATATTTGCTCATATTTAGCTTTTGAAATCCTGTTTATCCTTGGAAATCCTTTCAGTCCTGGGTTAAGAGTGAACCTGTGCAGTGAGGATTTGTATTTGTTTCTTCCAGGCCTCCAAACACTACCAGCCTGGGACCAGTTTCTTGACTTGAGGTTTCCTGGACAGTATAGGTAGTATAAACTTGAATTCTCAAACCCATGTGAGGGAAAGCTTGTGGTTATGAATTCTAAAAGGGAGATTGTTTCCCCCTTCATGCCAAGTCCAGACTAAAACATACTGATGATGTCTGCTTGTCTCCCTGGGCTGGTACAGGGGATTTTTTTTAATCCCCAGTCTATTCTTGGAGCACATAGCCCTATGAGTTTTCTAGCCTTATGCAGGGTCACTGTCCCAACTCCTTGTATAGGCCCAGGGCCTTGTTTTTGGTCTTCTGTGCAGCCAGTAAAACCACAGAGATTTCTGAGATAGGTACATAACCCTCAATACAACCATAGCTTCACTATCCTGCTTGCCACTCAGGTTTCTTGCTCCCTCTTTGGGTTGTGTGGAGTTCGGAAGACTATCAGAGGTATTCCTCTTTCTTTCCTGAAAGCTTGGTTATGCCTTTGAAGGGATGTTCTATTTTATCCAGCATTTCAATGTGTTTCATAATGGGACTGTTTTTCGGGTTACCTAATACTGGTGTGCCATATTGATCTTTGATTCCTTTCTCTCCACATCAACTGGTTTTTTATTCTACATCTATACATAAGCACAATCTAGCTGCCTTCTCCATTTCCACTATCTCCTTAGTGTCCGTCATGATTACTGCCTTTCTAGTTCATTTCCCTTCTATTCTTGCATCGTATACTACATTTTCCACATAGCAATCTAGTGATCTTAAAGTATAAGCCAGATCACTTCCCTGCTTGATACTCTTTAATAGCTTCTTGGAGTAAATCCAGACTCCTTAGTATGGCATTCAAGATCCTTCTTGACCTGAATCTTGTCTACTGTAATGTTTTTTCACAGTACACTACTCTTGCAGTAA